TTCCTGTTGCCCTAACCATCAGGATGAGACTATTTTGCACCTATTTTGTCAAAGTCAGATTGCTATACATGTAAGGTCTTTTTTTGCTCAAAGTTGTGGTATTGTGATTAGACATGGTAATATTATGCAGACTCTTATGTCTTGGTGGTTAACCAAGGCTAAAAATAGTGTCCATGCTGTGGTATTTCAGTGCCTTCCAATATTTATATGTTGAAAAATTTGAAAGAGCAGGTGTGCTACTTGATATGAGAATATTCATATGTCTGGTAGAATAATCATACAACAAGTTTGTAAGGTCACGGGAATATTACTAAATAGTCAATTCCCTAGACTGCAATTATCTCTAGCTTGGAATGAGCTTTCTTATGCAGTTGAAAATGCAAAGCAGTCAATCAGCAGTCAAATTATTATATGGAAGAAACCTGATATTAGATGGTTGAAGTTGAATATTGATGATTGTTGTAAAGGCAAATCCGGGAAGTTATGGCGGAGGAGGTATCATCAGAGATAATATGGGAGTTTGTGTTCTGGCTTATGCTAAATATTATGGCTACGAGAGTAACAACCTGGCTGAGGCAAAGGCCTTGTTAAAGGGTATGAAGTTGTGCATTAGTAGAGGTTTTCTCTATGTGGTTGTGAAATCGGACTCCCAGTTGATTATCGATATGATTAACAACAAAATGAAACCACCTTGACAAATCCAGTATATTATTGATAAGATTATCCAGCTCTCTAGAACTGCTAATTTTGAGTTTTTCCATATTTACAGAGAAGGCAATATGGCTGCTGATCAACTCGCCAGTTATGGGGAATACTTGAAAGATCAATTTACTTTTGATGGAAGTAGTTCTTTACCAAAAACAGTGAAGTAAATAGTAAGATTGGATAAAGAGAGCATCCCAAATTTCAGAATAAAACCAAGGAAGAACCATTTTGTTTTTAATGAGGCAAACAATAGATACTTCTGACCATTGTATAGTGGTGGTAACTGTATGTATAGCATCCTTTTGCGAAGCTTATTGCAATCAGAATGTAATGGAGTTAATCTTCCAAGTTAGGAAATCTTCTTACTTTCAAATGATCATAAGTGTGATTAATATCACTCTTCATTATAGTTTGGAGGGTATGGTATATGTCATCCTCCATGTACTAATCATTTTTGATAATCTACAGGTCGGGGTCAAGCCTAAACCTCACAATCCACTAATGGTGGACTTTTGAAAAAAAATTAATAAATATAAAAATGTGTCTTTAAAAAAGAAAAAGAAATGTTATACTATATAGTTAAAGGGGGCAGATAAAACCTAACTATATACTCTTTTGGCCGTGAGATCAAATCAAAATTCACAGCACCAAAAATAGGGTTACACGTCCAAAAGTGTATTCAGTATATTTGTCTTGCACGGATGTATAAGGGCTTCCAAAAAGGTTATAAAGCTCCTGCTTTATGTTGCAAATATAAAGTACTGAAAAGGGTCAGAAATGCCCTTAACGTATTAGAAATGGCTCAAAAATGTCCTCCTTCCACCTATGGGTTCAAATTTGCCCTTAATATTATTTTTAGGCTTAAAAATGCCCCTCTCTTAACGGAAAGATGACATGGCATTGATGGACATTTTAACATTAAGGGCAAATTTGAACCCATAGGTGGAAGGAGGGCATTTTTGAGCCATTTCTAATACGTTAAGGGCATTTCTGACCTGTTTTCGTTTTAATTAAATATGTAGCATTTATTTAGTATGGAAAAAGTGATTTTTTGTTAACTAAAAATTGAAAAAAATGAAATTTTTTTTTTCTAGTTTTTACAAAAAAACTGCTTTAAAAAAACTGAAAAATATTTTCTAAAACAATATTTTTGTAAAAACTGAAAAAAAAACTGAAAAGCAATTTTCTAAAGCAATGTTTTTGTAAAAGCTGAAAAAAAACATTTCCTCTTCTTCTTCCTTCCTTGTTTGTCCATATGCTTTCTGAGTTCATTTTTTATATATTTTAGTTCTTCTAATGAGTTAGTACATCAAAACTGAAATATTTTTGTTTTTTTTCAGTTTTTAGTAAAAACAAATTCACTTTTTTCCAAACTAAATAAATGCTACATGTTTAATTAAAATGCTATTTTTCCAGAACTCAGAAAGCCAATCTATTCCTAAATAAATGCTACATGTTTAACTAAATAAATGCTACATTTTCCGAGACTAATGAATATTTTTTTACTAAAAACTGAAAAAACGAAAATATTTCAGTTTTGATATACAGACTCATTAGAAGAACTAAAATATATAAAAAATGAACTCAGAAAGCATATGGACAAACAAGGAAGGAAGAAGAAGAGGAATTTTTTTTTTTCATCTTTTACAAAAATATTGCTTTACAAAATTGCTTTTCAGTTTTTTTTTCTTCAATTTTTACAAAAATATTATTTTAGAAAGTATTTTTCAGCTTTTTTAAAGCAGTTTTTTTGTAAAAACTGAAAAAAAAAAATATTTTCGTTTTTTTTTTCCAGTTTTTAGTAAAAAAATATTCACTTTTTTCTAGACTAAATAAATGCTACATGTTTAATTAAAACGGAAAAGAGTCAGAAATGCCCTTAAGTATTAGAAATGGCTCAAAAATGCCCTCCTTCCACCTATGGGTTCAAATTTGCCCTTAATGTTAAAATGTCCATTAATGCTATGTCATCTTTCCGTTAAAAAAAGGGTATTTTTAAGCCTAAAAATAATATTAAGGGCAAATTTGAACCCATAGGTGGAAGAAGGTCATTTTTGAACCATTTCTAATACGTTAAGGGCATTTCTGACCCTTTTCCGTATAAAGTATAATTGATTGATATTTGTGTCATCTAATATTTTTTAACTTTTAGATGTTTGGTTTTTCATATTAAAAATAAAATATACGATGTGTTATTTAAAACAAGTGTTTGATTGATTTGAAATGAAACTCAACTAAAATTTATTTTCAATTATAACCTTGGTTCTTAAGAAGCATTTTACAGCTTCTTTTGAAGGCTCAATCTCTGCAAACCTTTTATCTAATTAACCCCCAGTGCTTATTACATAACTCTAAACTAGAAAATAAATTGATCATTTCTAGAGGGTTGTTTATGACCGAGTGGTGATATTTAATTTGTTTAAAAGAAGGCTCGAGAAATTTTACATCGATGGGAGAATATTTCGCAAATTAGACTTTCAGTAGATGATAAAATTAGAAAAACAAGTTGCTGTTTTGAAAGAAAAATTATTCTCTTTAATATTTTATTTGGTAAATAAAGGAATTCTTATTCTTCGTAATATGGCACCGGCACGTACTGCCCGAGATGCTGGATTATATACATTCTTTCTTTTCCAAATCGAATTTCTTTTGGAAGAGGAAGAAAATAAATTAGTAATCATACCCCACGTTTTTAAGCATTATGATACATTTACTTTTTTTAAAAAAAGGGTACTCACTTTTGAGTTGACGTGCTCTTTCATTCTATGTAAATTAAAGGATAATTAATTTGAAATCTTTACTTGTTCTCACGTTAATTTAATGATTAGTTCCTAAAAGTAATTGGTCTCATGTTTATATAATGACTAGTTCCTAAAACTTTATGTGACTGTCTACTTAATTAAGCTTTTCTGTACTTTTTTGTTTTGTTTTGGAACCTTTATGCATATTAAGTGGTGAAGAAAATCCACTCAACAGCCACCACAAAATCTTTTTTAGTTGTGATAAGTACTACTTTGATATATCATTTTCATGTAATTCTTTACATCGGTATTTGATTCGCGTGGAGAAAAAATGAAAAGAAAATGACTAGAACGAGTTACAAAATTTGATTTTTCTCTCTATTGGCTAGAATTTATGTTGTAGTTAAAGGTGGCTTCAGAATATCAATTTAATTCCACGATCAAGAAACATAGTTCTCTTTTCATGGTGATCCTTTCACCAAGCCATTGTTTTTTGCCCATTGGATCGATTTATGATTGCTACTAATTTTTTTCCCTTTACTTCTGTCAATGTCATGTCCCCATTAGATTAATTAAGTTCTACTTTGTTATGAATCAGGCCCAGTCCAATGTCACACAAGTAACTATTGGGCCGAAAACAAGCAATAGGGGCAAGTTCATTTGGGATTCAGGTTGAGTAGTGGCACAACGAAGGTTTTGTTAAAAAGTGATAGTGGTCGGTTATTTTGGGGATCTATACACATTGTTGAGAAAAGTGTCTGCTTCTCCTCGTCTCCCATTCTCTGAGTCTAACCTTCTCATTCCCTTCTTCTATCTATCCCTAGTTATTTTACTTCCTGCAATTTCGATTGTAATTCTGCTACTAAGTTGTTGCATTTTGCTATTTGAATTGTAATCACTTATCAATCTTATTAATAGAGTAGAGGTTCAGTTACTGTTACTCTGAATTTGAGTTCATTACATACTTTCACGTGCTTTCCTTTTTGAGGTGGCCAGTATGTCTTTTCATGAGAAATGAAAAAGAAGTCATTCACTAAATCTTTTGGAACTTAAAAAAAAACTAGTTTAAAGATTTTCAAAATTTACTCCCTCCTAACAAGGAGGTAAATCTAGTGCCAATAAACCGCTATAACTATTGGAGAAGACACTCAAAGCTGAAAGGATATTCGCCTTAGGAAATTAAATCAATGGAGGTAAACATCTACCTAACTGCGTTGGACTAGTTAATTAAGGAAGACCTATCAAGACTTCAAGAGATAGATTCACGAGTCAAAAATAATGCTAATTGGTAATGTAAAGGTCCTATATAAACGGCAACACGGTGTACTAAGCTCCCGCTATGCGCGGGGTTCGGGAAAGGGCCGGACCACAAGGGTCTATCGTACACAGCCTTACCCTGCATTTCTGTCAGAGGCTGTTTCCACAGCTCGAACCCGCAACCTCCTATATATTTTAATTAAATTGACTGTATTGATCTGTCTTAAGAATCTGAACTCATGTTTGTCCCAATAATTCCACCACCAACTTAGAGTAATTATTCTAAAACTGAGCTGATTAGAGTTTAATACATTAGTTTATTGAACTCGACCAGTACTTCTAAGAGTCTTATAGATTGCTTTAACAAATTTATTCAAACACCAAATACAAACAACACTCATTTCTCCTACTGAGAAATGAGAAATCCACATTCCTGACAAGATGCAGATGAAATCATTTGCTGCAGAGAAAACCTTTCTAAGCCTATTAACGAAACACATACGAGGAAAGGAATATATGATGCTTTGTGCACTCGGCTGTTTTTTTTTTAATTAATACAAGACGGTGAAAGCAAGTATTACTTGAGATGCTTTTCAAACCACCCCAACATGTCTTGGTGAGCCTCTTCAGCAGATTTTACAGCTACTTCATCTTCGTCTTTGTACCTCACTGACCAACCATGTGCAACCCCGGGAAAAATCTTCACAAATGCATCAACCTGCACGAAAACACCATAACCGTCCCATTCATTCTTACAAGCAGTAGCGAAGCTAAGATTTTCCTAAGGGTATTCAAATTTGAAAGAATGAAAAATAATTCCCGACAAAGAGTGTTCAATATGTGTTATATACCTCTAAAACGTAATATTTTACCTATATACACAGTGCAAATTTTCGACGAAGGGTGGTCAGTTGACCACCCTTGTGACCATGTGGCTTCGCCACTGCTTACAAGCCTCTGTGGAACCAGTAACCAACTGTGTAGTCATACAGCTTGAATACACCTCTAATTAGTCAAGTATTATGACATGCTGCTGAAAGTAGTTAATTACTTCAATGCTTGCATTGGTTCAAAGCACTTCTCAAGATGACGAAAGTAGCACTCTAAAATGTGCACCTATAAACTGACCAAAAAACTTCTCTATGGTTCATCCACAGACAACATATCCTTATAAAATTAGTAAGCATATCACTCAATAGCAATATGTCAGAAATTTGGAACATAAGCTTGTTCACAAGTTGGCAGTCTAGCTATCATTCTGCAACATGGGGATGCCAATATATTTATATGGATATTAAAGGATTCCATTTTTCCATTTTTCTTTCGTCTTTTTATTTTTCCCCTTACTGAAGCAGAATTGAGTTTTAAGTCATATATTTATATATAGTAGTATAATAAAGTGAATAGTCAATGAAAGTGCTTCAAATCAAAAGTAAGTATGTGAGTGCAATTGAGTTCTTTTGTAAAAACAACATAAGAAGGTTATGATCACCAATGGAGAGGCTTTAAAGTAATGTCTACAAGTGAAAATCATAAGCAACTAAAATTTCCTACCTCGGGCTTAGCATTTAAGGCCATCTCAAATTGCTTGACAAGCTCTGGCGGAGATCTTTTGTCAATCTCTGCCCCCAATATTGAGATTGGAACTTTAACAGCTGAACATCACAACAAATTAGGAACTTATGACTTCTGAAATGGAAAACAACCTAACTCAGCCCAGACTGCATTGATTTATGAATCCTGCTCTGAATTAACAAGTAAAAGAGCTACTATGGCAAACACAATAGAATTTTTTTAATGAGAGATGCTCGAAAAAGATTTCATACTTTAAAAACGAATGTCTGAAGAGGCGATCAAGGCCTATATGAAAATTATGCCTGAATATTCTCAATGTTATGAGCTCATTATATTGGTGTGCTGAATTCAATATCCACAAGCAAGAGAAAGATGAGAAGAAAATATAGAAGATCTAATAACAAAGTCATACCGTGCATATCATCTACGGCGACAAATGAAGGATGTAAAAGCACTGCAGCTTGGATATAAGCATACTTTGCTAGTTCCACAACCACCTTAGCTGAAAAGAATTTAAAATACAGTTATTTAGCAAATTATAACGTTAAAGTAGATTAATTCATGCCAAAGGAAGATTTAAAAAAAACTTGTAGCCATAGCAAGAAGATTACCTCCCCAACAGAAGCCCACTGCTCCAATTTTAGTAACACCTTTGCTCTTTAAAGCTTCAATAACTGGTTTTGCATCTTCGAAACCTTGATCCTAATGTAACAAGAATACATTAAATAAAAGTGTAAACTTGACAGGTCAACCAGACTCCACAAATGAACAATCCAAATATACAAAATCCCCCAAAACTCAGCAGAAACAAAATGGTAGTCCGATTTCGCTACTGCACAAAAAAAACCAAGATATCCTATATTTCCAGGAAGCATTATTGAAAATCACATAAGGGATTCATGAAAATGAAGTTCAAACCTCAAAATCTCAGCTAATATCCAGACACATTGAATTAGAAAATGCATAGAAAAGTATTAGAAATAAAACTTACCGGTCCATGATCTTTTATCCATAATTCTAATGGCCTCACATCATTAGCTATATGTGGATCGCCACGGAGGAAATCAGGGACTACTACGTAGAAGCCAGCTGCTGCAACTTTGTCAGCAAGCTTCCTATAATTTTGAAAGCAAGCATATCAGTTTGACGTAAATATATATTTACATCCAATATAGCTATCTATATGTCAATAGCAAGATTTCAACATCTTATCATCATTGTTAACGTTGATGTTTAACCATTTATTAGTGCAGTGAGGATAAAGTTTCTGTAGGAATTGAGAAGCTAATTTGATAGGGTGAAAGGACAACTTTGCTTAAACCAGGATTAAATCACATAAAAAAGAGATTCTTATTCACAGAATTCAGAACTGGACTGCATTCATATCAATTCCTGCTAGTCCTCACCTTAACTTTGGAGCTTCATATCCTGCATATTAATAAAAAGACGCTAATTAGAACATTCACAATGTTATTTGTTGATAGGAAATGGACACGTACAATCCATATGAGTCTGACACCAGATATATGATTAGAGCATCATAAATAATTAATTTGTAAAAAAAAGAAACCTGCTCCATCGATCTCTCAATCCATCAATCATTAACATGACAAAAAAATAGTTTTACGACGTTACTATTGTTATAGTGGGTAGGGTAAAGGTCAGTGACCATATGTGAGATGAACCCAAAATTATAGCTCCTTTTCGTCTTTATATGTGGATTTCAATTAACAAGAACCACCAAACAAGATTCTTTTTTAAGCTTTCAATGTCTGCTTCCAAGAGAAATCTGAAATTCCAAAAATCTTGAAAGCTAAATAAAAAGAATTTACCAAAAACATCAGAAACAAGGAGGAGAGCAAGAGTGGAATGAACAGAGCCAGAAACATAACAGCTGAAGCCTCCAAGTTGTTGGACATGACCTGCTTCTCCTCCACTGTTGTCTGAGCTCAGCTTTGGTGGGTTTTCACAACACTCCGGACCCGACATAATATTGGAGTTTACAAATAAAACAGAACAATATGGTTAACGTAACTCTCGGATACTGATGTTCTACAACTTTGACAAAGATCACTCTTGTTTCTCACTTATATAGTACTAGGTGTTTGTCGCCAAGATCAATCTCGATTGTGGTATCTATTTTTATCAGGTTTTTGTGTATATATATATATACACACACCATGAAAATGTATTCTTGTCTATACAACTTTCGTGCCATTAAAGAGTTAATACACTATTACTATTACATACTCCTTCAGTTTGGATTAATGTGACAGTAGTTTGATTTAGTTTAACCAAGATTTTTTTTTTTTTAAAAAAACTTATAGTCTTAAACATTTGTATAACTAAAACTTACGGTAAGATAAGAAGTTTAATAGTACAATTTATTTTTAATATAAAAAATGTTGAATCGATTAATAAGAATAGTATCGGTAGGACATAAATACTACATTTGTTTTCTCGAAACTCTAGTAATCTATACTATCTACCTGGCAAAAATAATGTCAGCACTCACGTCAGACATCTAATCCTCGTTCTTGTTTTGTTTAATTTGACCAACTTACTCGCAAGCAATGACTTGTGCGTGTAAGATGTAAAGGGACATCTTAAAAAAATTTCTTTTAATTTTCATTTAATTATGAAGTTTATAATATATTATTTCCCATTTATATATGTTTTTAATAATAAATTAATGTCTTATGTCTGGACGAATTTCATTAACTCTATTCCGCCAAACTGAATTAGGTCATAGGAAAGGAGAGAAAGTGTATAAACCTCAAAGGTGCTCTTTTATTTAATTTTGAATTCCAATGCATGATCCATGCCCCGGTGCCTAAACTTAAGTATTGCACATTATAATGGTTGAAATATCGCTTTTGATTTTTAAAGCTAACAATGATATTATATTAGAAGCGAGAAGCCTTTAAGTCCAAGTTGAATTACAAAAATATTCCCTCAAAAGCTGAGTGACCTTTTTACCTTTCAAGGAAATAGTACTCCAATAATAGTAATGTACAAAATTGTAAATACACTTAAATAGTGCACTTTTAATAATCATAAAGATAATGCAAATAAACCTTTTCTATTGCGGATCATTATTAGGTTCTTTAAGCTTATACATCCTAATTATTCAAATAGTCAACTTTTACTAAGAACTTTGGTATTCTCTGCAAAATTTACTTGATGAATTTATGTTTTCTGTGATAATAGATAATAATTAATGATGGTGCATTAAAAAGTGCAACCTTTCATATTGTAATGGGTAGAGAAACCGTTAGTAAATGCAATAGTCAGTCACTTTTTTCAATTATCTCATCAGTTAAAAAAGAGCAACAATTACACAATTAAATTGTTACTCAATTTTCTCATCTGCTGAAGAAACCCATCAACAATCAATTAAATTATAACAGAAGCCACTAACAGTTAGGCTTGATAACACACCTCCACAAAATTCTCTTTGGGCCGAACCCTATGCTATCTGGAAGGTGTGCTGGAAGAAAGGCAAAAGAAAAGGAATATGAACGTGCAAAGAAGCTGAATTCAGATCCAAACATCAGTGTGAGCAATGTAAACATAGATGGAAAGGGAGAGAACGCAATATATGAAGACACAGCCTATAAAGATTGTGAGCTTGACATTGTTATGGAAGGTTCATCAGAAGACTATGACTCATCCAAGTCTGATGATGAAGTTATAAGAGGGTCAAGGGATGTTATAGCTTTGGAAGTAGTGCTTGCCACCCTTACCCAAGATCAACAAAATGTTACATACTTCAACAACTTGTCTCCAAGAGGAATTTTTAATTCGGCCAGTGCCAAATTTGTTCCCCTAGCCATATAAGAGACAAGCAACAAAAAAATGGGACAACTTAACCTTACCCCCGATATTACTCATGATTAGCACAATTTTATGGAATATAACGGGCATAGGATCCCAAGAAACTGTTGAAAGACTCACTCTGATCAAACAAGAATATAAAATTCCTTATATGTTCCTGCATGACCTATGGTAGGGGCAAGAAAGATTGACAAATTCAAAAGAAAACTAGGATATCAATCATGTTTTCACAAATGCACAAATAAAATTTAGATTTTTTGGTCCGCTGGTTATGTCCTGAACATCATTGAGGATACAAAATAACATATTCTAGTTCACATCACCCAATCTGAGAGCACCGTCCCCTTTTATCTGTCTGTTATTTATGCAAAGTGTGATGAACAACTGAAAAATATTCTATGAAATGAACTGAGAGACGTTGCCAGTATGGTGGTGGGCCCATGGGGAGTTGTAGGAGATTTCAACGTTATCACAAGTGCAGATAAAAAGATAGGAGGGAGGCCATACAAGATTGAAGAAAGTTTTGATTTTATTGCTTATTTGGCTGACGGTGATCTTCAGGATGCAGGTTTCTTGGGTTCTTTATTCACTTGGAGTGATAATAGAGATCCTCCTAACACCATCTGGAAGAGATTAGACAGGCTAGTGTACAACTCAGAGTGGTTCGACCAGTTTGGAGGGACCAGTGTAACCCACTTATCCAGATCATGCTCAGATCATGCCCCTTTACTTATTACTTGTGCTCCTAATAACACAGAATACATCAGATACATCAGAAAGAGGTTGAAAGTATAGAAGATCAAAGACCTCGATGACAACTGGGTGGAAGGTACGAAAGATGTAGAAGAAGCAGTTGTTAAGTATTTCAAACAACTCTTCAGTGCAGATAATATATTGGAAGACAACAGGATCTTGAATGTGGTTAAAAAGGTTGTAACAACAAAGGATAATGCAGCTATCACCTCTATCCCTACACTGCAAGAGATTAAAGATAGTGTTTTCTCCATCAATCCTAACAGTGCTCCAAGGCCAGATGGTCTGACCAGAAGATTCTATCAAACTGTTTGGCATATTATTTTTGAAGATATTCACAATGTTGTGATTGCCTTTTTTCAATGAGCTAACCTACCAAGATTCTTCTGCCACACTTGTCTAGTCATGTTGCCTAAAGTTGAATCACCTCAACATTTTTCAGACATTTAGCCCATCAGTTTATGTAATGTTTATAGAAAAATCATTGCTAAAGTCCTTAACTCCAGACTGTGCAAGATTCTTCCCAAGATAATCACTCAAAATCAGAGTTATTTTGTTAAAGGCAAAGCCATTACTGAAAATATTCTTTTAGCACAAGATATCATCAATAACATTGGCAAACCAAGAAAAAATGCCAACGTGGTTATCAAATTAGATATGACAAAGGCCTACGACAGAGTTTCGTGGCTTTTCTTTGTTTCATGCTTAGACAACTGGGTTTTGCAGAAGATTGGATTGAGCTTATTCAAAGATTTATCTCCAATAATTGGTACTCTATTTTAATGAATGGTAGCATGCATAGTTTTTTTAAATTCGGAAGAGGACTTAGGCAGGATGACCCCTTCCCCTCACTCTTTATCTTGAGTGCTGAATTATTATCTCAAATGCTCAATGAGCTACATTCCAACAGAAGGTACACAATCACCGTGCTTTCACGGATGATACTATAATTTTTTTCAGTAGTGTGAATACCTTCCTACAGCTGACCCTGAACACTTTAACTGTGTATGAGAAAGTTTCAGGTAAGTTGATCAATAAAAGCAAGTGTTATTTTACTATGGCTCCTGGTACAACCCAAAGCACCATCACAATGGTTAGAAGAATACTGGGAATGAGATATGACAAGTTTCCCATAAAATATTTAGGTTGTCCACTCTACTCAGGAAGGATAAAACTTTCTTTCTTTTCTGAAATGGTTAGTAAAGTTATCAACAGAACCAAAGGATGTCATTTGAAGTTTCTCTCATATGGAGGCAGAGAAGTTCTTATAATACATGTACTTCTAGCCCTTAATATTCACACTCGGACAGTTGTTCACCCGCCCAAAGGCACCATTGCTATGATTGAAAAATTTATAGTCAGGTTCTTCTGGTGCGGGCTGAAAGAAGGGGGTAAACACCACTGGATTTCTTGGAACAAGTCATGCTTTCCGTATGATGAAGGTGGATCCAACTTCAGAAAATTGGAGGACACATGCAGAGCCTTCACTACTAAGCAATGATGGAATTTTAGAACCTTCAATTCATTGTGGTCTCGGTTCATGAGAGTTAAATACTGCCATACCACTCATCCTCTCACTATACATAAGTTAACTGGACAATCTCACAGCTGGAAAGCTATGTGTGATATAAGGGAAAGGGTGGAGCCTAAAATCCTATGAAAAATTGGCAAAGGAAACTTTAGTTTTTGGTTTGACAATTGGTCCAGCCATGACCCTTTATATAAGAGGATTGAGAATGATCTAGTCCAAGATAACATTATGCTCAATGAGGTGTTTAAAGAAGGTCAATGGGATTGGTCTTGCCTCCAGGTCTAACCACCAGATTTAGTAAATATACAACTAACACAACAACTCTTAACTTTCAATCAGGAAGCTGAGGATACCCCATGCTGGACTTTTACTAACTCTGGGAAATTCTCTATATCCATAGCCTGGGATTTACTCAGACAGAAAAGACAGATAAACCAGTTTGACTCCAGAATATGGCACAAAGACATACCCTTCAAGATGGCTTTCTTAACGTGGAGGGCAGTACATGATAGACTTCCTACCGATGATAAGATTACAATGTTTGGTATCAATATAGATTCAAGATGTTCTTGTTGTATTGGCCCTGGTTTGATCTCTGGTATAGAAACAATAGAGCATCTATTCTGTCAAGGCCAGTATGCTCAAATTATTTGGAAATATTTTGCTGGTTCATTGGGTATTACATACAGAAATGTAAATCTATGGAATCTGTTATTTAATTGCTAGATGCAGAGGACTAGAAACATAGTTTCTGCATATGTGCTTAAAATCTTGCCGCCCTTTATCTTATGGGAATTGTGGAGATCAAGATGCAACTCAAAGTATGAACCTGAAAGGCCATCTGTAGCTAGATCCATTTATTTAATCACCTTCAACATTATCAACAAGGCGAAGGCTAAATTTGAAAGAATTAGTGTTGGTGACAACTTGATTGATGCCTACAATCTATGCAATCACTCTCTCAATGAGGTTTCTATTATCATTGTCAAATGGAGCAGACCTCCAATTCTCTTTTTAAAGCTCAATAATGATGGCTCGTGCATAGATGGTATATGTGGTGCTGGGGGAGTTGTTAGAGATAGTGGGGGAAGGATGCTTATGGCTTACACACCGCCTCTATGAC